GAAGCTCTTTCTCAGCTGAACCTTCCCAAAGCTCAGCACTGTGCATTGAGCGGATGAAAAACAAAACAGCAAGGCGGGCCTCTCTCTTGACCTTCTGCCTCAGACGTTTCTTCCTGCCATCAGACTGCGAGAGATTCTGCCATGACAGGAATGTGACATATGACAAATGCATACAAGTGATAAGGTGGAAGGATTACCGGAGAAGTGCCATCTTGTTCTGCAGCCCGCTGGTCTGCTTCCTGCACCACGCAGCAGTAGTTTACGGGTCAAGAAATGACCAAGATCTAGAAATTGAGTCTCTGGATCAACAAATTGAGAATCAACAAATTGAGAAGGGATGAAAAACACTGGAATTGGTTATGACCGAAGATCTTGCCGATGAAAAGAGATATACCGCCAATTGCAGCAATTTAGGTCGCGCAGAGGCCGCAAATACTGTAAATTGCAGCTTTTTGGGTCTCGTAAAGGCTGTAGCTATTGCCAGTTGGAGGCTACAGACATTGTGAGTCAAAACGTTTGGAAATCATCGAGAGCTTGCAAATACTGTAAATTACAGCATTGGGAGCACATCAAGAGCTTGCGGATACTTTAAATTACAGCATTGGACTTAATCCAGAGCTTGCAACCGCTGTAAATTACAGCATGCGAGCTCTGAAAATTCCAAAGTTTGCTTATGTATGCTGTAAATGCATTCGGAGCTCTGCAAAGAACTTACGCGCTGCGAAATGCTGCATGTAGAGAGCTTGTCATTCGCGCACCTGGCTGGCCTTGTGAAGGTTTTGACATTATCTTTATGGTCTTCCTCATCAAACACTACGCTGGAGCGTTTGTCTTTCTTCTACAGCGCTCGATGGTCTGCTGGGTGTCCTTGAACCTGGAGCAACGGAGCGAAACATGCTAGTGCATTGGGCTACCAAAGGCATATGTGCAGCAATGAAAGGTTTGTTCCGCCCTCTTCCATTTTCGTGGGGCTTGGCATCCACACAATTGAATCTCATCAGTTTTGTACAGAAACAACTTCCAATACCTCAAATAGCCAGTTCACTCAATTTCCATATCATAAAGCAACTGCATCAAGATCAAACGGTCACATCCTCTCGTGACAATCTTCATTCAAGGATCGGTCATCATACCCATCTTGAACGGTATTGTGACGACTTGAACGGCTTGACGCAACTTGACGCTCGAAGTCACATGAGTGGCACTCGAGCAAAAAAACCGAAAACTCATCACTCATGCCCTTGAACGCTCTGAAGGCGCTTGAACTGGGCTGGGCCTTGCCCACTTTGTCGCCAAGAAAATATTCCGCCAAATCCAAACAAGTAATCATAATCAACCACCTAAACAAATCATGTCAAGATCAAGACGAACTGTGACATATTACACACATCAACTAAACTCATCATTCGGATCATTTTTTCATGCAAGGTCGGCGTGCGACATCCTGACCTACCAATAGATAAATTCTGCAGGCTTGCAAGCACCTTTTCATGCACTCTTTTAAACTGCCCCTTGAGCATTCCGCAATCTTCTCGAGAAATCAACCTCCGCTCATGAGGTCTTTGCGTTGCCTACTCACTTCCTACGCTTCACCCTTCCTCACCTCAAGCTTTGAATCCTTTTTATCCTTCTTGTCCTTCTTTGGTTTCTTCCCTGCCTTCTTCTCATCTTTCTTTGTCTCATCCTTCTGCTTATGTTCCTTCTTTTCCTTTCCTGCCTTCGCAGGCTTCGTCTTTGCGGCTGCGATCGTTTTACTTCTTCCGCTTTCTTCTTTTCTGCCGCTTCTCTCCTCTTTCTTTTATCTTCCGCTTCAATCTTTGCCGCTTGCTCATCTGAAACTTCTACTGCGCTTTGCAGTCGCGGCGCGTCGTGGCCGGATGGGGTTTCGTGAACATACCTATTCTCTCTCATGTACTCAAGCAGCTCTTCAGTCGTGAAATTCATCTGTTCTTTGGCGGGCACTACGTTGCAGGCGATCCGACGCTGAGGTCTGCTGTGAGATCGCCACCCTCCGAACTGCGATGGCCAATTGGCAGCGTAACATGAGTGAGAAGCAAAGACACAGGAGCGTTTATCATTGGCCCCCCCCCCCGCCATTTGCAAAAGATTGAGCCGCATAACCTTCGATGGCACAACGCTCCTTTTGTACTGGTACCGCAAGCATGGATGGCTGGCTATAGGGGACCTTGGGCACTGCCCCCAGCCAGGCACATCGTCCATTGGTCTGGCCCCACCTGTAGGGCCGAAGTAACGCACAGGAAGATGCCATGGCCCCTTCTTTTTTCCTTTCTTTTTGTGTCTCCTTGGTGCTTCGGTCTTTCTCTTGTCGCGCATATTGTTCTGCAATTTCGCTCTTTCTCTGGAGTCGTTGGAAGCCTCCAGCAGGCCCTGGGACGCCATGGGAGGCCTGGAAAGCCTAAATACTGAGTTTTGCAGCAATTCTCGTTTTTACGATCCCTTATGAATTTCGGTTGATCCTCATCAATGCTTTCACGTCCTAGCAATTTTATGATGTCTCTCCCAGCTGATGCCGGGTTCCAATCTTGAGTCCGCACAGGTTCAGACACAAAGCACTCCTTCACTGCATCCTCGTTCGCCTGCAGCCCCTCGGCTGCACCTGCTCACATGAAGTGCTTAGCCAGGGCAGCATCAGGTGGCCACAAGTCTGCGTGCCTTCGTCGCTGTCCTGACAACGGTCAGCAAGTGCCACAGAAGACAGGCAGGTCAGCAAAAGATCTTTTCTCTTGCGAGAACTGAGTGCATGGCACTTACTTCCACCCTCGCAGGTTTTCCTGGAGGAGCCCGGTCCCAGGCACTGTGATCTTTAAAAGCATCTTGCCAGGCTTCCCAAGTATACCTTGACGACCATCAACCAAATCAAAGGCTTCACAAACTTGCACCCACATGCGACACAAACTTAGCTCAGGACAGATTATGGTCTGGACCGCGTCGCCTCTCCTGCCACGATGTACAATTCGGCTGCCTGTGCTTGCAGAGACTGCGCTGTCCTTGAGAAACGCTGCATTCTTCCACTCCTTCTCCCCTCGGCAAGCATGAAATGGCTGTCTGGCCATAGCAATTTTTGCCGCCGATTGGAAGCATTTGACACTTTGTTCAATTCTGATGCAGTTTACCTTTGTGTTGGGACCCTGTTGTCGCGGCTTTGTGCTTCTAGCCAGTTGCGGAGGCAGCAGCAAGGCAATAAGAATGGCCAGCCATGCAGAAAGGCAGAAATGCTGAAAGCCTCTGCATCTCTATGATCTGCTCACATCAGTGTGCTCGCTCTGAGCTTCGCGGCAGCTTTCCTTGTACTTTTCTTGGAACTCCTGGAAACTGCCAAGCACATCAGTGCAGACCTGCCAGCTCTGCACAGCGGTCCTCCTTTGTCTTCATCTCACCCGACTGCAGCGGCCTTTTTGCCTCAGTAGGCGCCATATGTTTTTCAGGAAGAAGCGGCTTCTGTTACCAGCCTGAGGAGTCTTTCCAGCTTGGGCCGTTGCCTGTCAGTGTCAAGCGACCCCAGCCGTCGGGAGAGCCGGAACGTGAAGAAAGAAGGAAAAGAAATACTACACATTCAACGGCTACACATCGGCATACGTCAACGTAAAAGTTCGAAGAAATACAGTTGGGCACAGCATGTCGTGATAGTCGTCATCAGTTTATGCAAGCACGAGACGTGTACAGCTCTATGCAAGCTCATACAGACAGCTTGGGCTGGGCTGTTTCTTGCTGTCATGATAGCATCCACTTGAGTCATGACCTGTGTTGCATCAAGCTTGGCTCAGAGGGTTTCACCCCATGTTGTTATAGGGTAGGTTGAGACATGCTGCATAAGCTTAAAACATCCTCAACGCTCCTTAGACTGTCTAGCTCGCACTTCATGGTCTGAAGTTCATCCACATGTAAGGCTCGCATCACGCTTGCGCCTGCTCTTGCTGTGAAGGCTCGCCTGGTAGGCAGATATAAGCAGTATCTTGCCATCACTTGTTGACTTGCAAGATTCAACTCACCACCCTGCAACACACTAAGAACGTGGCTGTGCAAGATCTTGCTGCGGTAGTGCCGCTCTTTTGAGGATCTTCTCCTCCAGATGTCCTTCCAGCATACCCTTTCCTACTGACAGGTTTATCTTGGAGACACCTATGACGGAAGATGTTGAGTTGTGGAAGCAGCTGTGTCCAGAAAGGATGAACCTCTGAACCATGAACGCGGATGGTCACTTGGCATACTCACCTGCCAAAGCTGCGGCACAGACATCTAGTAAAGCACCAAACTGTTGTGAACAACTTCTGATGCACGGCACCGCTTGCACAAAGATTTCGTAAACGCCCACCTATCCTGATTCAGCCAGACATGATGCAGGACTGTGAGTCTTGGCAGTGCTAGGAGTTATTGCTCACTATCGCTCTCTTGGCTGACAAAATTACCGCCTGCTGCAAACCATTGACACCCACGGACGGGCGTTCTGCCAGCACCTTTTCAACCGTTGAGGTTCCACTTGCGCGGGTCTACTGCAGCACACGCATCTGCAGTCCAGGTATTGATGCTAAACCCACTGCTCATCAATGCAACTATCAAAAAGTGATGGCGTGTGAGCTGCACCGTTGCATGATTCATGCCGAGCTGCCACACTTGCACCAGACAAGAAGACCAGCCATATCATTACGTCCTGGTCAGTGGAGAAGAACGTGGAAAAGCAACAGATTTCAACATTGCAGCTGGAGCACGTATGTAGCATCTGGATTTTAAAGGCTGCGCTCGGGAGTTTTGAGCCAAAATGGGTGGCCTCTGCGGAAGGCCGGTCGTCGCAAGAGATCACAAGCCTGGCTTCGCCTTCACGATGACAGACTGTAGAAGCTTGCTGCAGGCAACTGAGGCCCGTTCTGATGGAAAGTTCAATGATTTGGCATACAAATGTTTAGGCTGTGTGCGTTAAAAGTTTCGTGTCAGCGTGTTGACAGACTGGCCTCTTAAGACAGAGTGACGCCGAGTGCCCGCACTCGCAGTTTGGCATGAACACGAAGCCCAGCGGACTGATCCCTGTGCCTGGGGACGCGAGAGACATTACTGCAGCTTGAAAGCGCCGCACGTATCGTTCTGCATGAGACGTGACGTTCTGACTCAACACCTGAGATGCCAACACAGCACCCGAAAACCAGCATCAGGTGGTGGCGTGACCACCTGATATGTGGTGGAGTGAAAGTGCTTCCAGGCGGTCCGACCCGCATAGTGACTCTGTCTTGAAACATGCCCGCATGACGATGTGCACCACAGGGGACGGGGAAGGCCGCACAGGTGTGAAAGTGAAAAAGCCGGAGGCTGCCTTTGCAAGCATATGGCTGACTGCTTAGTTAGCCCTGCGTCATCGCAGGTAAGCCCACACCCGGGTTGTTGCCTCTCCAAGCTGGTTGTTGCCCTTGTACACCACACCCATGCCTTGAGGTTGCACATCTCAAGAACAACTCCACTGCCAAGCCATCGAACGCTGGGTCCGGTGCCCATGATCTCGTAACTCAAGGCCTACAGGCATGCATGCAACATCACGCACGTAGGCAGTGTGTAGGTACTACCTTCTACTGCTGGAAAGACTCTTGTAAATGACCTAGGCTGATCCAGAAAGATTCCACAAATGTCCCGAACAGAACACAGCCGTCCGCCATGCCTGCGACCACCGCACATACTGGGTACTCTCCTCATTATGCAGCACAGACGTGGCTTGCAGTACAATCTTCTGGAATCATTCTCAGGAGATCACGTCTTGGAAAAGTGCGACATAAAAGTAGTTTGGTGACGGTGTCAATCCAGGATTGCTGACACGCAAGTCCACCGTGATGTCTGAGCCCCGCAACCTGCAAGGCACTGGAAGGGGCAGAGTTTCCCTTCACGACGTTCCAAATAGCAGGTGCGCAGCTCGCCTCGGACGAGCTGTCACCAGCGTCGCCTCAAAGAACAAAGAATCGCATCGCCCGACTTCTGTCTTTTCTTGCACGCAGAGCTTTATGGATTCAAAAAAGCCCCGCACCTGGTTCAGGAAGCCGGTGCACTTTGAGAAGATGGGGCTGCCGCCGTATCGACACGAGTCCTCAAGCTTTGTACACGTGGGACTCAATGAAATTGCATGGAAAGCTCAATTGTCTGCTCCAGTTGTACTGAGATCTTTGCGGCAAAGACAAAGCCGTCAGGTGCCGTGACCTGGCAAAGCAGTAAACTGCAAGAAGCCGAACGTGGACAGGACATGGTTTTGGCCCAGCTCAACAAGGGATGAGAGGAGAGTCAGGCGCACAAGTCAGGAAAAAGAGGAGGGCGAGTCAGGAACAGGCACTGGGGTTCGTCAGAAAGAGCGTGAGGGCGTGTCAAGAACAGGAAGGGGGCGAGTCGAGAATGAATAAGGGGCAGAGTCAGGAACAGCAGCACTTCTCATAAGCGGCTTCTAGCGTAGGCAACCCTAAACACCAAACCCTAAACCGCGTGGCTCAGGGTTTTGGGCGTGCATCCAGCTGCTGGTCCTGCAGCCCTGAGGGTGTTGCCAGCCTTTGTTTCTTCTGTCTTGTTCTCGACTCTTGTTTCTGACTCGCCCCCTGTCCGTTCCTGATTGAGGCCGTGGTCCGGGTCTGACTTGCCGCTGCCCTGTTCTCAACTAATCCGTTTCCGAGGAAGGGCTCTTGCCCCTGAATCGACCAACATCCTCTCAACAAGCTGCCAAATTCAAATCTGGAATCACATTTGGAACCTCATTTTCTGTGCGCCCGTGTCTGCGCAAAGCAGAAGCAGGAGGTTTACCTTCTAGGCTAGGTCAAAGTGGCCTCCATTCGTACGCTTTCATCAGCCTCGACGCCATCAGCCACACCGAAATTGATGGTCAACTTAATCCTCGGTGCTCGGTGATGAATCAAAACGGAAACCAACACGAACAGGGGCCCTGCTCTGCCCCCGGAGTCTGCAAGGAGGGAGTCACGGTGAAGGGAACCTGCCTTGGAAGCCCACATATTGTGCTGAAAAGGGCTCTGGCTGCCACTGTTTCTTGGCATCTTGCCCTACCAGCAGGAAGCCGCTGAAAGCACCGTCGCTGGTTCCTGTTGCCTGAAGCGCGGCGCACATGCGAAATCCACAGCCAAGGCAAAGACCACATTCAGAATTCAAGCTTGACTGTTCTGCGCGCCGTGATTGTTCGGCCAAGCCAGGGATAGATCGGCATGGAGGCATCAACCACTGCACCGTCCTCGTCCACCAGAGGATTGACCTGCAGGCAAACAAGAAATGCGACTGGGCTCACTCCAACAAACCGGGCTTAGGCCAGTACCCTCCATGTCCTGAAGTACCAATTCATGACCTGGCATGCCCAAGCTCAGAGTCACCTGAAGCTCTTCTGTGGCACTGCTACACCCCCGGCAGCCTTCTCTGCAAGAGGCGGCGATGCGACTCCCAGCTGAAAGCGGATGGTGGTGCCGGCCTTTGCCGTAAGCGAAAGCTGGAACCCGTGCTCTCAACCATACACCGGTCCAAATCAGGAGCGGACCGGCACTGGCTGAGTTAAGACCGCATAGTAATCCTTGCCAGTTTGAGCAACCAATGACCCACATGTGGAGCAGGGCTATCTCTGTAAGCTGTTCAAGCCTATATGAGTCTGGGGTTTTGTTGCCATGGAGGGCAACAGCATGGCCAAGGTGGGGCAGGAATCAGCGCAGCATCCGAAGAACCCTCGCTAATGAAACCCTTTGCAGAAATCCCTCACTTCCAGAAATTGCCAATGAGGCTTTTGATTCGCCTTGGCCACTGTCAAAAGGCTGTGAATAGAAAAAAAGCTTTGTCGCAGGACCCCCCCCGTCTTTGGTACCCGTTTGTCGCAGCCTGTCGTTACATACCTTTGTCGCGAATGCTTGGCGCAAGTATGCCCGACAAAGAAACCTTGTCGCAAAGGTGCTTGTCGCAAGCCAGGAGATTCTTTTGCAAACCTATGTCGCAAAATGGCCGCCCAAGCCTGTTACAGACCCAGCGTTTTTGATTCACAGCCGTCAAAGGTCCTCCCCTCGCTGGATATGGGGGTCCAGACCCCTGAATACCCTAACCCTCCTGACTCTCAAGCTTCCACACGCAGGGGTCTGTTAAGGGGGGAGGGAAGCCCCCCCAAAGCGCTTTTATTAGTGGCGTCCCCACCTGCTAGGCCCCCAAATAGACGTTTTCAAGCTTGCCCCCGCCCCTTCCTAATGATGTTTAGCGGGACTGAATGGTAGGAAGTCCTGGTTCTCAATCACAAATATTGCACATGCTAGGCGTGCTGCGGGTGCAGGGTAGAGTCAACACTGCAAGTGGGGTTACTGCTAATAACACAGCTGTTCTGAGCTCAGACATGTGCGGGCCTTGCTCGGA